GCGCATCTTCAACCTTCTCGTTCAAGAGAAAGACCGCCAGCTCCTCTCTCTTCACCTCCTTTTGCAGGTCCTCCCCTCCTCATGTCTCTATTTTAAATTCCCAATTTCAACTTCTTTTGATTTCCTTAAACGTTCTTTACATTGAGGACGGAAGGAAGGAATATTATTTTTTGTTCAAGTTCATTTTGTATAGGAGAATTAAAGTTTAATTTGCAAATCATTTGAATTCAAAATTTGAGTTTAGTCTTCAAAATAATTTGAGTTTGAACTTCAGGTGCAGAGATTTATAATTTCGAAAATGTTAGACAAGCTCAAATTTTGTTGGGTAAAGTCTCATTTAACTTTTTGATTATTCTTTTTTAATTTTATAATGTAATAAAGGACCGAATTTAATTTCATGTTCTCAAAAAATAGGCTTTAATCTTGTTCCAATTTTATTTTTCCATAATATATCTTTTCGGAACGAAACCGGCTTAAATTATCATATTTTTCCATATATCTTCAAATACCGAAGTATTTGTTTCCAAGAAGAAAGAAGTGTCTTATTCCAAATTTCCAATTATGTCATCCTCATGAATGTCGTGCATCGGTAAAATCCGCATTGATGTTTTAAATTGGATTTAAATTTACTGGTCTCTTCCATTTAAGTTTGATCTGATATCGGCTGAATTAGCCTGATATGGTAAATGTCCAGTCTATGTGTATTTTATAATTATGAAAGTTTATCTAGTTTATTTATGTCCGGTCTGGTTTGGGACTGAAAATAGACAACTAAAAACATCTTTACGCAGTCTATGACAAATTTAAAGGGTGACAGGGTCATTATGTAAATGCATCACTGTTCTAAAAATCACTCTAGGCGCCTGATGAGTCCCCAATTAATTGGTTTGACACCTAGATGAATTAGTCGGCCGTCTAGGCTACCTAGTTGTCTTCCTAGAGCACTTAATCGACGCTCTAGTACGACTAGATTCGTCAATCATTTTATTTTGCTTTTTTACTTTAGTTTACTAAGAGATATATGCACATTTAATGTACTTTAATAATGCATATGAAGAGAGCTACTACTTGTAGATTAAAATAAAACCATACATATTTGTATATAATCTTAAATGTTATTACATATTACTACATATTATTTAATAATATTTATTACATAATGAAGTTAAGCGGGTAGATATAATATATTATTAAATGTGGCAACTTTATCATCCATGCATGGTAGTGTGTGTGTGTGTTTTATAGATACACAAACACAACACATATTATTAATCATATTCATGTAAAAAATACTGATAAAACTATAGTTTATATGATTAATCCAACCTTCTAGTGGTCTTCAAGGGCGCCCAACGTATGACTAGCGTCTAGCATCTTTTAGAACATTGGTAGGTACTCGTCTTTATATGGGAATATTCAAGGGCGAAGACAGAGCACTAAACCGGACTGAGCCGGCACACAAAAATTTTTTTACAAAAAATTACACTGGTTTTTTACACTAAAAATATAGACATTTTAAAATTTTGGGCTGGACCAAGGTCTCCCCTTCTCATATTGTTGAAGCTTTGTCCTTTGATCTGATTAATGCAAGTTGAGTTGAATTCCCTCAAAACAAAAATAGACATTTTTAAAATTTGGGCTAGACCAGGGCCTCCCTTAGCTCCTCCCCTAGCTACGCCCCTGGGAATATTGAAGTTTCAACCCTACTTTTCACGTAATTTTGGGGTTTCGTCCTTTTTTAGATAGTGAACATTTACTCTAGAAGTTCACAAACATGATAAAAATGATGTAAACTACACTCCTATCTTCAAAGAAAAATGGGGTGACTTCAAGGTTCAGATTGTAATATTAATAACAAAATTGGGATGTAAACTTAAATTTGAATGAAAAAAAATAGTGTGAACATCACCCCATCTGAATCCACTAAATGAGTTTCTTAACAGTTAGGATGTTTTTACTTGGACTGTAATTTGCTGCTCTGGTCTGGTCTGAACTGGTCTGGTCTGGACTGGTCAGGTCTGGTCTGGGACAAATTACAGTCCAAGTAAAAACATCCTTAATCGAAGTCTGCGCCTCATTCAAAATTTGAGCTTACTATTTGCGCCTCAAGTATTTAGAAAAATTAATCTGCGCCACAATCCAAACCCAATAAAAATCAAGTGCAAGTTCTTAAGTTTAGAGCAGAAATGTTAATTAATTGTTTAAAGTAATGAGTAGGGTAGAGCCGGGAAGCTCCTGGTAGGTGTAGTGGCCTGAACCTTTTAACGAGAATAACCAGTTTGAGTTCCAGACCTGCTCTGTTCCGATTCTGATTTTATAAAACCTGGAATAAGTTTGGATAGTTCCACACTTCCACTACAGAACCAGAAATCCCGGCAACCAGTCCATGGCAACTCACATCTTAATCAAAATGACAAGGTGGAGTGTGAACTAGGGGTCGACTCAGGATGGGCCAGGCCCGGTCTGGTCCCGGCTGGCTGTTTTTCTGCAACACTTTGGCCTGGTACCGGCCCGGGTATGCTCCAGGGCCGGGCTGAGCCCAAATAATACCGGTCGGGCCGGTCACAGGTCGCTACCACCTTTTTTACTAAAAAAAATAAAAAATAGTGTTGTTGGGCCCATTCGGGCCAAAAAATTGAGCCCTAAGCCCGCACCTTATAACCGCCGATCCGGGGCCCGGGCTGGGCCGGCCCGGTCCAGTCCATCCCTTAGTGCGAACATTAGTTTTCCCTTTCTTAATCCGTGTGAAACAAACTTAAACAATGAAGTAGTTTTAGTGCCCGTCTGGTAGCCTCAATTTTGGCTATTCAGGCTTATAAGCCAACTTTTTCACCAAACACGTAACTTTTGGTTTTAGACTTTTAGGGGCTGAATTGTGTAATAATGAGAAAAAGTAAGGTTGGAGTTACTTTTCTGGCTGTATTGGTTGAAGTTACTGTAGAGAGTCATTTAAGCTATTTTCATATAATTTTTTCTTTGTTTTATTAATAAAATGTATTTTAAATTATTATTTTTAACAAACCAGCAGAATCAGCAAATACATCCACATCAGCCAGGACTTGATAAATTTCAGCAGAATCAGCCAATACAGCCGATTTGGCTAGCAAACGGGCTCTTACATTTCTGTGTATTTATGAAAAACTGAAGTACATCAAATTTTTGTTTCTGTGTTGCAGAAAGAAAAAGACAGTTCGAAAGATGCCAAAAAGCAAATTGATGACATGAGAGGAAAAATTCATAAGCTACGGACTAAGAAGGCGGATCTTGAAGCAAGAATCCAAGAGATGGATTCCACCATCTCTTCCCTCAAAGAAGAACAGAGAACCATATCATCCTCCCTGGAGGAGAAACAGAAGCAGATCAATGCACTTATGGATTACAAGCGAGGGGAGAGTCGAGAATCTGCCAGGTTAACAGCTTTGTCCGAAGCCCTCCAAAAGAAAGCAGCCGAAATCGACGAACTGAAGCGGCGGGTCAACTTCCCAGTCAAGGTCTGGTCAGTCAGATCCGATGATCGGTCAAACCTGCCAGTTAATTTCACATCCAAAGCGTCTGGAGTAGAAATTGGAAATGATAACAGAAACAGAAAAGATGCAGAAACCTCAGTGCAGACACAGGATAGGGTGCAAGAGGGAAAGAATGAAACTAGTGATTCGCAACAGGTTTCCGGCAGCAGGACCACCTCCACCGTTGTAGAAAGCTATCAGTCAAGAGAAGACGGGGTTAACTCCGATACCATGGGAAGAAAACTACGGGGGAAGAGGAGGAGGATAATAAGTTATAAGAACCTAAAATCTGAAAATGGGGTTAAGAGTATGAGGAGTCGGAAATCATTTACAGATAGTGAATCAGCAGACGTAAGAAAGAAAAGTAATCTGCAGACGTTACCTGATAATTCAACACTTGAGGGAGATGACAAATTACTTAACAAACTTGGAGACCAGAAACCAGAAGAGATAGCTAACACCACAAGGAGAAACAAGGACCGAAGGAACAAAACTTACACAAGCATGACAGAAAAGAGGGCAAAAGAAGATGTTCAAGAAACAGCAATGGAAGAAGACACTTATAGAAAGTCAAACTCCGGCACAGATGACATTGGATTTTAGACTGCTTTATGTCATTACCCATTGTTAAACAATTTCATGTTTTTTTGCTATCACAGCTTCTCTAAAGATCAGTTTAATTGCTTCGACATCTAAGTTCTTAACTCTTAAGTAATTTCTAGCAGATAGACTTTCTTAGAAGTTCATTTGGACTTTTGGAGTATGTTTGAATATCAGAAAGCAGTTTTCTTAAATATATTTTTTGTTTGGTCACTAATTTTTAATAGTGGTGGACTGAACCGGGCTGGTTCGGGCCTCGGGCCTAGGCCCGGCCGGGCCTCGGTTCAGTAATAGAAGGCCCGAGCCCGAACCGGGGTAGGGCAGTCCCGGGTCCAGTTCCGGGCCAGACCGGGCCGGGCGGGCCACCCGGTTTTTTTTCCTTTCTCCCCCCCCCCCACCCCCCCAAACCCCCCCCAAACCGGCCTAAACAGATAGCCCAAGTCCAACAGCCCAAAAAAAATGAAAAAAAAAATAGATTTGGCCCGGGCCCGGGCCCGAACCGGCCGGGCCGGGCCGGGCCGTCAAAACCATGAACCGAGCCCGGAACCGCCCCACCCCCGGGCCTCCGGCCCGAAACGGACCCGGACCCGGAAAACCGGGCCGGGCCGGGCCCGCACAGTAGCGGGTCGGGCCGGTCCCGGGCCGGGCGGCCCGAACCGAGGCCATGCCTAATTTTTAAGAAGTTATGTTCATGTGTCAATCAACCGATATGCAAAAATAAAGATCAAGAGTTTTAATGTAACTTTATCTTTCCGGAAAATTAATACTACTCTCTTCCCACAAACATTGAGACATAAAGAGGTGGTGTGATTATTAAAAAAAAATTTATGTGATTGTTATTGAATTGATGAAGAATAAAATAATAATGAATTAGAACTGTACAAACTTTACGAATTTTGGTATGAAACAATCTTATTGGACGGATCAAAAATGAAAGATGGAAGAATCTTAGCAAGACAAATGGAATACTACGTATGATAGAGATTGAAATATTGAATCTATCTTTAACTTTCCCTGAAAGATTATTCCCTTTTACTTTTCATCTATATTTTCATCCCTATGCAAACTAGACCCTTAAAAGAAACTCACATAAATGCCGGTGGGAAGTTATCATCTTTCAGTCTTTTATTTGCAAAATTGCAAGTGATAGCAAATTAAACTCACATACTGCCAACTAAACACACATCAATGCGGTCCATAAAAGAAACTTGTGCAGTAGTTGAGGAGAGATTTAGGGTACATTAAACGTGAAGTAGGCATTGGACATCCAAATAGATAAAGATGAATCCCAGAAATGGCATCAAAAAGAACAACTGCATTATTGCTAGCAAAATCCCATCATCACTAATGCATCCCAAAAGTTCCAGCTTTACTAAGACGCTTGAACCACATTCTGTCAAATGAAAAAGATAATTAAAAACAAAATAATAAAAACCATGAAAAGAAAATTCAGTCTAACATAGTGAGAGACAACCGTCTGGTAAAATTAGATCAACTTTTTTATTCTTTCAGACCATCTTCCAAAATGGCACTTATTCACTGAAATCCCTTCCTCACACTAAGGGCATGTTTGTGAGTTTGGAGGGAAGGGGAGGGGAAGGCTTTGAAAGTATGGTGTTGGAGGGAAAATGGAGGGGAAATTGAGGGGAAGGTGAGGAAACCCTTCTTCCTATTTGGGAGTAATAAATTTGGGTTTGGGAGTAATATATTTGGAAGTAGAGAGTCTTTGAAGGAATTATAACTAAAATCATATTGAGATATGACAAATTCAAATAATTTAATTCATTTTCATTTTAAATTAAGCTTAAATTATCATTTCATTAATTACCCTTCAAAACACTCCAACTTGGGGGAACTTAAAAATTGAGCATTTAGAGGGTTTCGGAGGGTTACAAAAGCCCTCCAAAACCATCCCCTTAAATTTCTTAAACTCCCAAACATGAAAAGGAGGATCATAAACCCCCATAAACCTTCCCCTCCCCTCCAAAACACAACTCCCAAACGCACCCTAAGGGTCTATTGGATGGAGGGATGTGGAGAGAGGAAGGCTTTATAGGGATGACTCTTTATATTGATAAATAAAATGCTTTTAAAAAGATATAAAGGTGATTCATATAATCATATGTTATACAACCAATCTTATGTTAACCATTCCATTTATATAGAATCTCGATAAAAATCAAGATGTAGAATCTCCAACACCAACTGTCCAAACAGACCATTAGAGAAGAGACTAGAGTTCTAGAATAATAGTAGGGAAACAAAGAAGGCCTACAGCCTACCAAGTACCAAGCCAATTACACAGTCTGGATAACCTCCTAGTATAGTTGTGGGCTGAGCTCAATATTATCTATTGTTTGAGTAGCAGGTCTGTGAGTGTGCTCAAGATTGGTCATTACAATATTATTACTAATATGAAACTTCAAACTTCCCCAAATTGTAGAGTTTTAAAGCTTAGTATACAGCACAACGGCTAAGATGGTCAGGTGGCTTACTAGCTAAGATGCTAAGTCTAGCTAAACCAAGATATACCAGATGCTCAATTCTTCATGAAATGTGCATCAAATATATGTTAAAACTCATTTTCTTTGAAAACTACTTTCAAACTATTTGGTTTCACACTTTAATATTTTAAAAATTAAAATTAAAACAGACCAGTAAAAGCAAATCATTTAAAGTGAAATCACTTAAAGCAGTACAGTTTATGAGTTTAAGCTGAATGGTGAGGTACTAAAGCCATAGTTTCTAAAATCTATCTGAAGGAAGAAATATACCTCTTCCTTATTCTTCTTTCCTCCGGTAAAGAATTTATATCCACCATAGATTGCTGTAGCCCATCCAGCCAGGGAGATAAGTACAAACTGCATAGCAAACATCAGATTAAACACGCAATTCCTACATCTCAAAATCTACGGAAAGCTTTGCAATGATACATGATACTGATTCATTAAAGAAACAAGTTAAATTGTTGGTTTGTTACTTAATCTCGTGGAAGGTTTCATTATTTCTCTCATTCTAATTAGTAAAATAAAAAACATCCATGGTTTACACATATGCTCTAGGCAGCCCTAGGGCCAAAGGTAAATTGTGCAATAGGCCCTAAGGCTGCCTAGAGCTGAATATTATTGCCTTAAGAGTTTGTCCAACTACTCAGGCCAAACAGGTTGTGTGTCCTTTTCCCCCTTCACACTGTGGTTATGATCTACAACTGGAAATATGATTCTTATTTTTTGAATAAAATAGGCATATGTCCAATAATACAAACGAGATGTGTTTGGCATGTATCAAATAATGAAATAAGTTCAAAACAATGAAGTAATCTTCAAAAAGAAGTTCCAAGGGCATATAATCCTGGTTTCAATTCCTTTTGTAACCTTAAAAGAATATGGTCTTTTATAAATCAAGTTTCACAAATGGCATGCATATGAACATATTGACTGAAGATCAGGTGAAACATAGACTCATCACTAAACCATCATCCAATTGGCGCCCGGTTCTATCTGCAACACCGATTCCTTATTGGGGTTGGAGGTAGGTCATTTTATCATTGTAAAAAATGAATGAATAGTCCACTTAACAGAGCTAAATATTCCACAGCGCCCCAAACTTTCCCCAGCCCCCATCTAATGACAAAAAGATCAATGATAGATAAAAATATGCCTGTTATTTAGAACTCTAGTTCACGAATAGCTCTGCAATTTCATAACAAGGTATAGGAAAATGGCATGATGTCAGATAGAGTGGCTTCACATTCAAATTCAAAATGAGCAATTTCTATGTAAAATTCCTTAACTATGAATTCAAATCATGCCATTCCTCCACTTGATATTGAATAGTAGAATATTTTACACCTGGCTATTTCCTAAGACACCGTTTGGTAAATCAGTGCCTAAGAATGATAAAGAAAACTCACATGTTCTTCCTTCCACTTCGATGGGCTCATCGGATCTTCCCAAAAATTCACCTTTGGAGGTCCATGGTGATCTGGAATGACGCAAAAGAATTACTAATATCTAAGCGTATATGCTCATTGCTCACAATTAAATACATCCATACAATATTCAAAGGAAACAGGAGTAGGAGGGCTAAATTATGAAATCCGGGGACTAAACGGAAGGAAATTCAGATCGAGAGAGATGAGTACCAGCAGCGCCTGCAAGGCCGCGGCGGGTGACAAAAGACGCAGATTGAGCGGATGAGCTAGAAGTCGATAGCTGATTACAGATAGCTGCTCGACGAGCCGCCATCAATGCCAACGACGTAGCCATAGCGTTGCGAGTGTTCTCTCGGATTCTCGGTGATGGGAACTGTACGGAGATGAAAATGTGAAGTAGGCGGCACAGAAATTGGGAAGCAAAAATAGCTAAAATGAAAGTAAAAAATGAACAATCTTCATTGATCCTTATATAAAGATTAAAATATTTATATAATTAATACTCTATAATTTTTATCGGGAAAAGTATCAAATAGGTCCATGTACTTTTAATAAAAAGTCAATTGAGTTCATCTAATTTTTTTTCGAGTCAATTAAGTTTGCCAACTATAAAAAAACGACCAAATCGGCTTTTTAATAGGTAACCAACCGGTTACCCTCTTAAAAGTCTATGTGGACTATTTTTTGTACTGTTTTCAAATTTTTTATTTTATTTTTCCTTCTCTTTTTCTCTTTTCCCTTTCTCTCTTCCTATTTCCCCTTTTTTCTCTTTCTTCTTCTGGTCTGCTCCTCTTCTGCGACTCAAACCCCTCCATCTACGGCCTCTCCTTCCTTCTTCCACAACTACAGATCTATGGAGGTCAGGAGGTGGCAACGGAGGGTGGTTGGAGGTCGTCCGATGGAAGAGATGGAGGTGGAGACCATGGATGTGGAAGTCGGCCGAAGCTGTGGGTAAGGCGGTCAGGGGCTCAAGGCGGCGACTATGGAAACCGGGGCAATTGGAGGTCGCTTCAATGGAGGAGGCGAAGGGGAAGGCCACAGAAGTGGTGGCCGGAGGCGGTGTGGACGGAGGAAGAGGCGGTTGAGGACTTAAAGTGAAGGTGGAGGCCATACTCCGACGGTGGCTATGGAGGTTGGACGGCGGAGGTGGTGGCGCGCTGGAGAGAACTAGGCGGCGGAGGTGGTGGCTGGAGAGGCCTGGGCGGTGCCGCGGTGGAGTTTGTTCCCGTGGTGGGGCGGAGTAGTAGGAGTTATGGTGGAGAGCAAGGGACTGCCGGATTGGGAGAGAAGAAGAGGGTTGGCGGACTGGGAGAGGAGGAGAGGAGCGGACCAAGAAGAAAGAGGAAGGAAAAGAAAAAAAAAGGAGAGAGGAAAAAAGGAAAAGAAAAAAGGGAAAAAGTAAAAAAAAAAAAATCCAACTCGGACGTCCACGTGGGCGTTTAACAGAGTAACCGGTTTACTACCGGCTAAAAAGCCGATTTGATCGTTTTTTTATAGTTGATGGACTTAATTGACTTGAAAAAAAGTACACGGACTCAATGATTTTTTCTTAAAAGTACGTGAACCTATTTGACAGTTTTCCCTTTTTTTATTTAGTTCTAATTCCTACCAAATTACATGCAATACCCTTTCCCTAGGGTGTTTGACGGAAAAGAGCACATTTTTTACATTGTATTCCAAAAAGTGCAATTTTTTTGACGTTTTCTGAGAGAGTGCAAAACGGAGTTGGCAGATCCGAATTCATCTATGAAACTAATTTTCGGAGTTACCGAGCTCGAAAATGACTCCGAAAAATATGGTGAGGCCATTTTCGGAGTTGGCAAAGCCGAAAGTAGGAGTACTTTTTTTCCCTACGAATGGTTTGGTGTGTTTGTTTTTGTGTTTTGAACTTTTTTTTATAGTTCTTGTTCTAAAACGTATTTTGTTCAACATAATTAAAAATCATACAATATTTGTATTTTAAGTTTAATTTGCGTCTGATTCCCGATTTAGATAAAAACATGCGTTTTACAAAAATTTGACCCATTAAAATAAATTAGCACACATTTTACAAAAGTGACTCATTAAATGTTTTCAGCACAAATAGTAAAAAATTTGTTACATTTACATTAACAAAATAATTTTTTGAACGTAATTCAGATTAAAAAACCGTACCCATTAAATAATGTGAACCCCGGAAAAGATGATTAAAAGTATCAATATGTTCATATATTTACAAGAACAAACTACATTGATTAAAAGTATCAATATATTAAATCAATGTGACGATTTTTAAAAAATAGTTGACCCATTCAGTGCTATGAACTCCAAAGTAAATACAAATACAGTTTACAATATAACACGTTTAATTTATAAGTGACCCATAAAGTCATATGAATTCAAAATTAAACAAAGTTCATTGCACAATAAGTCATATTAAAGGTACACATAAAACATATGGCTAATAAATATTTTACAACATTAAAACAAAGTACAAAAAAAGATAACATTATAAGAGTACAAATACAAATCAATCATGTTGTCCTCTCCGTCTTGGACGCATATCCATCTCATTTGGAAATCTTGTTTCTTGACGGCGCCCAGCTCGAGAAGTTCTGGAAGAGTACTTAGGCGGTAGAAGAATGAACTCATTTTGTGGCCACTCATTCATATTCGGAAATGGCATGATATCACTGGAATGTGCATTTATGTAAGAACTCAGTTTGTATACCTCAAGAATAAGATAATCAACACGACAATTTAGAAAATGGCACACAGAATGTGCATGGACGCATGGCATTCCGTTCATCCTCCAACAACCGCAGTCACAAACACGTCTGGATAGATTCACCGTAACAGGTGTTGCATTTTCTATGGAGACCGAGTAAATTCTTGTGTAATGGTTGTGTGGAAGAACCACAGTGTGAGGTCTTTGTTACCAACGCTCCATAAGCTCTTTCCGAATGTTGTCCGGAAAATGATATCCTGCTTGCTGTCACATCATACCAGCAGTACGACGTTAGGAGAAGAGCTGGACTAGTTTGTCAAAAGTCGCTCGCACAAGGGCACTGATTGGCGACTTGATGGCCTCGTTGTGGAGACCGGTCAAAGGTGTGTCTATTAAAGAAATTGGTGACATGAGGTACATCTTTATCTTTTACCATATGTCATCCTTCGTTCTTTAATTCTTGCAACAATTTGACTTTCAAGTTTGTCAACACACAATTTTGACTGTGATTATATTTAATTATGTATTAGTAAACATTATAAAAGTTGATATTTTCGAAATTAACATTGATTGGAATTCAATAACATATTATACATAATAATTTGACTATGTATATTAGTAGAAAATCGCGGTCAAAGTAAGGTCTGTGAATAATGCAAAAATCACAATTTTGTAAGAATTAAAGAACAGAGGAAGTATTAGATATGAGACGTATCCTAGATGAAGGTTTGTGGTTGTTTTTACAGAAATTCATCACTTCTAAAAGAAATCAAGGCATCGGATATTCCTCTACAGACGAGCCTTTATGAGGCTGTTTTTTGGGTGCAAGTTCACAATGCGGCATTTGGCTTTATGAATTTGGGTTCTCCTACACAAATTGGTAATTATATCGGAAAATTTATTAGTTTTGATGATAGCAAATCTGATGAAAAATTGGAGGCAAATATGAGAATAGGGTGCGTATGGATGTTAGGAGACTTCTGAAAAAAGGTACTTCACTGAAAAAGGTGGGGTTTAGCCAACAGGTGGACTTTAAGTACGAAAAACTTCCATATTTTTGTTTTGTTTTTGGAATTATTGGGCAATCTCACAAGTTTTGCTCGGTAGTGTATGAGGGTAGGGGCGGAGATAGGGCTGGGCCATCCTTGGCCCCGGCCCAGCCCAAATTTAAAAAATGCCTTTATTTGAAAGATTGACAGCTTGACCAGATGCAGCCTGGTATGTGCTTAGAAATCCTTAAACCTCAATATAGATCTAGATTCTCCATCAAGGAAAATTAACAGCTCATCAGCATAACCTAGATGAGAAACAGCCCTTACCTTATTTCCCATCCAAAATGGCTTGATATTATTGTGCTCCATCAGATATTTCAACCCTCTTGAAAAAGCTTTTGATGTTATTATAAATAAAAGAGGGGACAGAGGGTCACCCTACTTGACACCTCTATAAGGCTTAAAAAAACCTTGCGGAGAACCATTAATGAGAACTGATAGAAATGTGGCCTTGAGATTGTTTAGAATGAGCATAATTAAATGAGAGGAGAATCCAAACTTTAAGAGGATAGGAGAGAGAAAATTCCAGGAAACTCTATCAAAAGCTTTAGCCATCTTTGTTGACCATAAATCCAGCCTGTTCCTCAGAAATAATTTTTGGGAGAATGACATTGAGCCTTGAAGCAAGCACTTTTGTACACACCTTATTAATGAAATTAGACAAGTATATTGGTCTAAAATCACTAAAAGTAACTGGATTATCAGCTAATATATATATATATATATATATATATATATATATATAGAATAGAGATCAAATACAAATCCTTCTTAATTTACAAAGTACAAACTCAGCTTGACCGTCCGATGAGTTGATCCAAAGGACATAAAGGCAAGGTGACATTTTTGTAATAAAACCCAACTTTTTTAGGGTGCAACTCGTTGAACGTTAATGTGCAACTGCTATTTTATGGCTGAATAATATGCACTACTTTGAACCTCAATATGCAATACAAAGGACGTTAAGGTGCATCGTACAAATATTTGCACAATAAGCACAATTTGTACTTGATCTTTCCCGGGTGCAGTTCAAGTGAGAATGGTAGCTTAGGAGAGAAATAAGAACAAATCACATCCATCCAAAACAATTGATCTACGATTGCAATTAAGTTTTAAACGGTGGCATGTATGTAATTAGTCAAAAGTTTAGACAACTAACGGGATACTTAACGTGAGCGTAATTGAAAAATCCGCAAGTTTGATTTCGTTACTAGCAATAGCCGACTTTCTCTCATTTAATTTACATATGGCTAATTAAATGAATATAAAAATCAATAACTACGTGTTATACATAGTGCACTTTTACTTTTAACCAACTTTAGTTACTTTTTCATAGTTGCCTCAATTGATATCCTATGTTTGTTATTAGTTTTATTTTTAATCATCAATTAATATAATGCACATAAATTCTTCGTAACATTTATTTATATATATACTATGTAATGTTTTCTCCAAAGTATGCAAATATCTAATTTTGGTTGGGCACTCATATTGCAAAGTTGTGCACTTTTATTTTTAACTAAACAATTGTGCACTTACATACCAAATAAATAAACATTTTTAAACATTATTTTGTTCACTTTTGTGATTTGTATCTGCATATTTATTCATAAACAAAGTATTATGCACTTTATGATATAAATGTTTTAACAATGAATGTGCATTTTCGTGAACCCTAAAGTG